GTCTTCCCAGTGGTTATTTTACTATGTCAATGATTAGAGAGATTTTAAGGGAAACATTCTGAAAAAAAATACTAAGCTTTTGGTTTTACTTGAAGGACAAATGATGTTTTCTCAGAACAGTGTTCTTTTCTAATATGGAAAGTATATTTACTACTTAAAACACATCCCACAGCCAAGAGAATTAATCTATTCAGCCACGAAATGGTGGCCTGAAAGACTAATAAGCAACACCTAGTCCCTAGGAGAAAAAAAGAAGATTGCAAGAAAATATTGCCAAACTTTTTTTTAAATCCTAAGATGTAGTTGAAAATATTCATTTATAGTTTGATGAATTAACAAATTATTGCACCTTGGAAAATTTTCAGTGTCTGGAAATAGCTTAGTTAACGGAACTTTGAAATTGAACATGGAGCAAAAGAGCAGTAAAATGTTAAAATATTAATTAATGATTTGGAGTTGTTGGTCTTTTAGCTTTATACTAAATTTTTAATATAATTATATAAGAAGCTTAAGAAATTAGAATTTTCTTTCTTTTTATTTCTGCCTACAAGTTAAACATTAGCCTAAGGTTTCGTATATATTTAGAATAGATTGCAAACCTGTTAGGATACAGAATTTCTTTTTTTTTTTTTTTTTTGTGGATTTTTTTCAATTTATTTAATGGAGGAATTACAAAGTTACAGAAGAATGTGATTGGAATACCAAGCAGGGAGTAAATGTGCTGGGAAGTAAATATTATTGATCATTTGTTCATTTAACAAACTTGGCTGAGTGGTACACACCACAGAAGTAGAGGGATCCAAATTATATTCAGGCCTGGCATAGTGGCTCACGCCTATAATCCCAGCACTTTGGGAGGCCAACTCGGGAGAATCGTTTGAGACCAGGAGTTCAAGACCAGCTTGGGTAACATAGTGGGACCCTTGTCTCTACACAAAATTTAAAATTAGGCCAAGTGTGGTGGCATGTGCCCGTAGTCCCAGCCACTTGGGAGGCTGGGTAAGGATCGATTGAGCCCAGGAGTTTGAGGCTGCAATGAGCCATGATCACACCACTGCACTCCAGCCTGGGTGACAGAGCAAGACCCTGTGTCTAAAAAAAAATTTTAGGCCGGGCGCTGTGGCTCACGCCTGTAATCCTAGCTCTTGGGAGGCCGAGGCGGGCGGATTGCTCAAGGTCAGGAGTTCAAAACCAGCCTGAGCAAGAGCGAGACCCCGTCTCTACTATAAATAGAAAGAAATAATTGGCCAACTGATATATATATAAAATTAGCCGGGCATGTGGCGCATGCCTGTAGTCCCAGCTACTTGGGAGGCTGAGGCAGAAGGATCACTCAAGCCCAGGAGTTTGAGGTTGCTGTGAGCTAGGCTGACGCCACGGCACTCACTCTAGCCTGGACAACAAAGTGAGACTCTGTCTAAAAAAAAAAAAAAAAAAATTTTAAACTATACATTTTTTTTTTTATTTTGAGACAGAGTCTCACTCTGTTGCCCAGGCTAGAGTGCCGTGGCATCAGCCTAGCTCACAGCAACCTCAAACTCCTGAGCTCAAGCAATCCTTCTGCCTCAGCCTCCTGAGTAGCTTGGACTACAGGCATCAGGATACAGAATTTCTTGTTAGTTTGGTTATTAATATGCAAAATGGTTTTTTTTTTTAGGGACAGTCATGTATACAGATTGCAAGACTGCCTTAAGTGCTATGGACTACAATAGTGAGACAGTGGATAATTTTGTCACACATAGGAAATATTAGGAAATGCTTAACTCCTCCTCCCTCCTTTTTTTTCTTTTCTGTTTTTTTCTTTTCTATACCCATATATGAGACCTCTTCTTTTTAAAGTAGACATGCTGCCTAAAGACCCAAAACATAGTTTCAGTTTCCTTGTTGATGAGAATAATAGAATGAGACCACCACTAAGTAGTAGTTATGACTTTGGAAATAATCCACATATATTATCATTACTTTAGTATTATATAATTTACTACATAATTAATAAAGCAAACTATATGATAAGTTGCCTGATCTACTATGTAACTTTTAAATTACATATTTAACTTCTTAATTTGAAGTGTTGCATTCATGCAGAACAGTTCACAAATTGTAATGTGCAGTTTGAATTTCACAAATGAATACACCTGTATACCAGCACCCAGATCAAGAAATAAAAATTTAGCCACACCCCAGAGCATCCTCCCCTTATCACCCTTCCTGAGTCACTACCTTCCCACCCAAAAATAATCCTGACTGCATAACACCATGGATTGGGGTTATCTTTCTTAACTTTACATAAATGGAATCCTACAAAAAATATATTTGAATTTTAAATAAGGTAGCAATATGGAAAAGTTCACCCATAATCTAAAGCCCTAATATTAAGAAACTAGTTTATTTTTGTATTAATATCTCCTTGCATACTTTGCCCATATGTATGGTTTTATCTTACATCTAGGAATAATTGATTCAGCTTATTCAAAAGAAAATCCACAAAAAAAAAAAAAAAAAAGAAATTCTGTATCCTAACAGGTTTGCAATCTATTCTAAATATATACGAAACCTTAGGCTAATGTTTAACTTGTAGGCAGAAATAAAAAGAAAGAAAATTCTAATTTCTTAAGCTTCTTATATAATTATATTAAAAAATTTAGTATAAAGCTAAAAGACCAACAAACTCCAAATCAATTAATTAATATTTTACAATTTTAACTGCTCTTTTGCTCCATTGTTCAATTTCAAAGTTCCGTTAACTAAGACTATTTCCAGACACTAAAAATTTTCCAAGGTGCAATAATTTGTTAATTCATCAAACTATAAATGAATATTTTCAACCTACATCTTAGGATTTAAAAAAAAGTTTGGCAATATTTTCCTTGCAATCTTCTTTTTTTCTCCTAGGGACTAGGTGTTGCTTATTAGTCTTTCAGCCCACCATTTCGTGGCTGAATAGATTAATTCTCTTGGCTGTGGGATGTGTTTTAAGTAGTAAATATACTTTCCATATTAGAAAAGAACACTGTTCTGAGAAAACATCATTTGTCCTTCAAGTAAAACCAAAAGCTTAGTATTTTTTTTCAGAATGTTTCCCTTAAAATCTCTCTAATCATTGACATAGTAAAATAACACTGGGAAAGACAAAAACATTTACTAAAGACGGCAGTTCCAAGTGGTTTTGAATTTTTTCTTTATACTTACTTGGATTTTCTATATTTTCTTTAGTTAACTTAAATTGCTTTTATAATCAGAAAACATTTAGGGTAATTTTCTTAAGGGATCCAATTACTCATACATAAATTGAGACAGGGTCATACTCTGTCACCCAGGCTGGAGTACAGAGGCACAATCATAGTTCACTGCAGCCTCAAACTCCTGGACTCAAGTAATCCTCCCACCTCAGCCTCTGGAGTAGATGGGACTACAGGCAAGTATCAATATGCCAAGCCAAATATTCATATTGATTGTAATCACTTTCAAAATTCTTAGCATATTTTTCCTATTTCCTATTCATTTTCTTTTTTTTTGAGACAGAGTCTCGCTTTGTTGTCCAGGCTAGAGTGAGTGCCATGGCGTCAGCCTAGCTCACAGCAACCTCAAACTCCTGGGCTCCAGTGATCCTTCTGCCTCAGCCTCCCGAGTAGCTGGGACTACAGGCATGCGCCACCATGCCCGGCTAATTTTTTATATATATATCAGTTGGCCAATTAATTTCTTTCTATTTATAGTAGAGACGGGGTCTCGCTCTTGCTCAGGCTGGTTTTGAACTCCTGACCTTGAGCAATCCGGCCGCCTCGGCCTCCCAAGAGCTAGGATTACAGGCGTGAGCCACAGCGCCCGGCCTTATTTCCTATTCATTTTCAATAGAATAAAGGTTGAACTAGATGACCTTTAAGTCATCTAGTTGTCAAAATGAGAAGGCACAGCAAATGGGTAGGCTTTCCAACAGCCTGGGCTCCAACTGATTCTAGTATATCAATGTTAGGATACCCTGGTTGGGAAACACAACTCTAGAAACATTACATTTGAAACATTACATTTATTCACCTTGTTGATTTGTTCCACAGTGTCACTGCTTATGTATTCAGGTGGATAAACTGTGTTTAGTAATACTGTAAAATTTGGAGTCTTATTTATCTGATGTTACTCTTACCTTTCCCTGAAGTTTACAGAGGCATCTTGTTTTAAATGACAGCAAGTAAAAATTAGCTCAGTCTGACTAAGTAAAAATCTGCCCTGCCATTCAAGAAAATGGAACAATACACATATAAAGCCGCTGTGGACAATACACATATAAGACCACAGGAAATAATATTTCTCTCTAGGACACCCTACAGCTGTAAAATGTCAAAATACTCCTGTCTTTGAATAACCATTTGTTTTCTTACTCAGTGAGAAATAATGTTCTCTAAAATCATAGACTGTTTGAAATTACACCAGTAAGAATGAAACATTCCATTCTTGCCTGGAGGACTGAAGTCACGCAATTTACAAGTACAATTTCTAAGTAGCCTCAATTTACAACCAAGGTACAGAACTTCAAATAAGGAGATTTTGAAGACAAAATCTCACATTTATCTTTGTAGTTTCCAAGGAAACAGAACCCTGGGTCTACTTCACATTCCAGATCTGATGTTGATACTTTTATACTCAGTCTTGCTTTGCTTTTAGCCTATCAAAACAATGCTTCATTTAAATCTCACCGAAATTCCACCATCTTCCCTGTTTTCTTTGAAAAGATGTCTCATGGTTCTTGTGATATGCAGTCTTCCTTGTATCAATAAGCCAATAAACCTGGCTTTACCAGATTGCAGGTTTGTTTCTGGTATCTTTAGTTGATTGGGTTGGGATGGATGACATAGTAATGATTTCCAAAGGGTATTATGACCTGCATTAAGACAGCAGCCCTAACCAAATGCTGTAGAGGGAACACAAGACTGTGAGAAAACAGACAAATTAAAATATAACAACAGAGACTTATTGTAAAAAGGATACTAAACAGAAGAACAATGTGTGTTTCAGCTACAAACTGGGCTTGGCTGCTTCCATGGATATAATTCTAGGTGGGAAAAAAGACAAAATGGAATCTTTAAATATATATTAAATTTTGGTATCCTAACCCTAAAACGGGATATTTTAAACTCTATGGAATTATTATTTCATCTGATGTATATAAGCATGTAACATACTTTGAGTCTGTAGCATTCACCATTAAAAATTTTGATTACTATAAAAGCTATTTCTGTATTATTTATTCTCAATTGAAAGTCTCAATGAAAAGACTTTCATTGTACTTATACTATGTTTACAACAACAGAATATATTACAAAACTAGGATTTCTTTTTTTTTTTGAGACAGAGTCTCACTTTGTTGCCCAGGCTAGAGCGAGTGCCATGGCGTCAGCCTAGCTCACAGCAACCTCAATCTCCTGGGCTCAAGTGATCCTCCTGCCTCAGCCTCCCAAGTAGCTGGGACTACAGGCATGTGCCACCATGCCCGGCTAATTTTTGTATATATATATATATACATATATATGCACATATATGTATATATATATATATATTTTTTTTTTAGTTGGCCAATTAATTTCTTTCTATTTATAGTAGAGACGGGGTCTTGCTCTTGCTCAGGCTGGTTTTTGAACTCCTGACCTCGAGCAATCCGCCCACCTCGGCCTCCCAGCGTGCTAGGATTACAGGCGTGAGCCACTGTGCCTGGCCTGTTTTTCCTATTTATCACTATATCTAATCTTAATAACAACCTAGCATGGTGCTTAGAAATACAAGAATACTCAAATACTTGATCAATTATTTTATTCATTTGTAGGCTGACTTTCATTCTTAGTCAGCTTAGTCAAAAGGACTCACTCACTAAATGGGATAAGGAATTTCCCACTTTTAAAAATACTGCATGGTCTTATCACCAACTGAAGCTTGTTAACACAGACAGATTGAAAATTCAAGACTAAATCTAGTTTCTTTATATGCTCGCACTGGTCTCACAGGGTAATAATCATTACATTAACTTTGGTCTACAATGGAAAGAAATCCCAGACTTCCCTTACCACATGTCCTGTGTGGGGATTCTTATGAGCATATGGTGGTCCTCTTATATGATTCCACATCTGACCAGATGTCATAGCAAGCACAAAACACTAGGAAACAAAAAATAAAATATTCACAGTCCAACTGTTCTCATCTTGATTAGATTGTATGAGCATATGCAACTGTTTAGGTAATATTAGGTTATTAAGTACAGAATGTCCAATTTCCTTAAGTACTAAGTTTGACAGTTGATATCTCTGACATTTCACTTTGACACTTCTTTTTTTTTTATTGTGAAGGTACATCCTCATTCTTTCAAACACACATTTTGGTTTATGATTATCTTTCAATTTTTTAGAGCAATTTTTGAGAAACTATAGATAAGTAAAAAATTAGTGTTATTTTCGAATATGAGTTCTGTCATGGAACCAATGCAGCGCACACAGCTCGAAATATCACAAAGTATTTGGGAAGGATGTGGCTAATGAATGAACAGGATGTCAATGGTTTGAGAAGTTCCATTTTGGTGAGTTTAATCTTGAAAATGAGCCATGTGGGTGACCTGAGACATAGGTGGATAATGATAAGCTGAAAGTTATAATGGAAGTGAATCCATCTCAACCTATGTTTGAATTAGCAGCAAGGTTTTATTGTGTTTTTGTTTTTTGAGACAGAGTCTCATCCTGTTGCCCAGTATAGAGGGCAGTGGTGTCATCATAGCTCACTGCAGCCTCAAACTCCTGGGCTAAAGTGATCTTCCTGCCTATGGAGTCTGGGAATACTCAGCCATCACGCCCAGCTAATTTTTTCTCTTTTTAGAAAACAAAGAAACCAAAAACAAAAGAAATGGCACAATCACATTCTTGAAGCTCTGGCCATCCTAATGAGATAATGAGGAAATACAATGATTTTAAAGCAGAAAATTAAAAATATAAAAAATTCTTTCCCTTGGGTAAGAAATAATCAAAATGTGGCTGGGCACGGTGGCTCATGCCTGTAATCCTAGCACTCTGGGAGGCCGAGGCGGGCGGATTTTCCAGGTCAGGAGTTCGAGACCAGCCTGAGCAAGAGCGAACCCCATCTCTACTATAAATAGAAAGAATTAATTGGCCAACTAATATATATAAGAAAATTACCGGATGGTGGCACATGCCTGTATTCCCAGCTACTGGGAGCTGAGGCAGCAGGATCGCTTGAGCCCAGGAGTTTGAGGTTGCTGTGAGCTACGCTGACGCCACAGCACTCACTCTAGCCTGGGCAACAAAGCGAGACCTTGTCTCAAAAAAAAAAAAAAAAAAAGAAATAATCAAAATGCTACTTCTCATATAAATGAAAGCTTACCTAAAAATACATTATTAGGAGTTTTATTCAAATAATTTTTATTCTAAAATTTACTCACCAAAGCTGCAAAAGCCCATCCAGTTTTATTGAAGAGAAATTCCATATTGCTTCTTCGAAGATACACAAGTCCACCAATAACAGCCAAAAGCAATCCCAACATAAGGGGACCAGCATAATTTGGAGGTCTAATTACTCTAATCTAATGGAAAGGAGACACAAATATTTTAAAGTATAACATTTAATTAATTATTAATATACGGGTCTAAATAATTTGAAAGGAAAGCAATCAAAATTAGTGTGGTTACTCTCAGGAAAAATGATACTTTTTTTATGTCATCGCAATCAAAATAATCTCTACTGTATCCTAAAATGGGATAGAATAGGTACAATATTCTGTTTAATCACAACATAGTATCTCCTAAATTAAGAAGGATTTACCAACTACAGGTAGATAGTCCATAGATTTAAGAAGTTCAAAAGAGTGGTTTCCATGTTGAATTCAATAAAGTATTAATAATACAGGGTGTTTTTAATTTCACTCATTCATCAGGATGATTCTGTTAAATACTACTTATGAAGGGACTGCCAAACTATTATCACCTCAGTGATAAGGGACAATACCAATTAGAGCTTCTTAGTAAGATTTATTTATTTTTATTTATTTTTTATTTTTTATTTTTATTTTTTGAGACAGAGTCTCACTTTGTTGCCCAGGCTAGAGTGAGTGCCATGGCGTCAGCCTAGCTCACAGCAACCTCAAACTCCTGGGCTCAAGCAATCCTACTGCCTCAGCTCCCGAGTAGCTGGACTACAGGCATAGCCACCATGCCCGCTAATTTTTTCTATATATATTAGTTGCCCAATTAATTCTTTCTATTATAGTAGAACGGGTCTCCTCTTGCTCAGGCTGGTTTCAACTCCTGTCCTCGAGCAATCCACCTGCCTCGGCCTCCCGAGAGTAGATTAAGGCGGAGCCACTGCCCGGCCAGATTTATTTATTTATTTATTTTTTATTTCAGGATATTATGGGGTACAAATGTTTAGGTTAGGTATATTGCAAAAGGATTTGCTCTTTTTTCTTATTTCTCTGCTCTGTCTCTGTGACTGACTTATTTAATTGGAAGGTGTTATCTTCAATCCCTGAGATTCTTTCTTCTATTTGATCTACCCTTTTCTTGAGGCTTTCCACTGTGTTTTGTAGTTCCCTGAATTGATTCTTCATTTTCAGGAGTTCAGTTTGATTTTTCTTTAAGATCTTGACTTCTGGCTGGGCGTGGTGGCTCACGCCTGTAATCCTAGCACTCTGGGAGGCCGAGGTGGGCAGAATGCTCAGAGTCAGGAGTTCGAAACCAGCCTGAGAAGAGTGAGACCCGTCTCTACTATATAGAAAGAATCAATTGCCAACTAAAAATATATAGAAAAAATTAGCCGGGCATGGTGGTGCGTGCCTGTAGTCCCAGCTACTCGGGAGGCTGAGGCAGGACTGCTTGAGCCGAAGAGTTTGAGGTTGCTATGAGCTAGGCTGACGCCATGGCACTCTAGCCCGGGCAAGAAAGTGAGACTTTGTCTCAAAAAAAAAAAAAAAAAAGATTCTATTTCTTTGTGTTGGTTATCCATTTTCTCTTGCATGTCATTGAG